GCTTTCAACTACACACAAGATAATGTATAAAAGCCACATCTTCACTGTCCAGACGCATTACAGAAGTCAGAATCCAGAACCCGCCTTAGGTCGCTGGATGCATGTGTTTCTTCAAGGATGCTAGAAGTTGATTGGGAAAATGGTTTTGTGATATCAGTTTAATTCAGCCTCAAGTGGATGTTTATACTGTGTGCTAGAGACAGTGAGGAATCAGGTTGACGCGTTTGTAGCCTCCCAGTATGAGAGGAGGCCATATGCTTCCTGGGGCTTTAAGGGCTGCCAAGGACAACGCTTGTGCTCACGTGTCCCCTGCCCCCTGGCTGCTTCCCAGAGCTTTCACACAGAAGCCCAGCGGATGAAATCCAGTACCCTTTGTTCTAAGACAGTTCTCTCCTGGACATTGTCCCTGACAGGACATTCAGCTTTCCCAGGAGAGAAATGTCACCACCTCAGCAAGGAAAGTATCTAGGGTTATAAAGGATTACTAATGTATTTGAACTTGTCTCACTCCAAGCCATCAGAGGCAGCCCATACACACCTTCATGGTCCCCCTGGCTTGTCCAACTGAAGTCAGAAGAACCAGAGTCTCTTTGTTCCATGTGTGGACTTCCCACTTGGAGCCTTCTGCCTTGCTGTCTCCCTTCTTTGTGCTTGTGGTCACAGAGTGAGGATATCAGGTTCTGATGTGGGGCAAGACCACAAGTTTCCCTCCTGCTGTTAGAAAAACCTCACCAATGCTTCAGCCCCAGGATGCCAAAGCCTGCCCCCTCAGCAGGAAAAGGCTCAGGAACAGGAAAGGAAAAGGAGGTCTCTGAGCCACAGTGGGGGAGGGGAAGGGGGGTCTGTCTGTAATCATTCAGCCCCGAAATGAGGCTCATGATGATGGCTTTCCAGGCCATTAATTCAAGGGCTGCAGGGCCCCCTTCCCCCATGTCACAGCCTGCTCCGAGAGATAAGCCCAGTTGTAGTTAACCCTACTTCTTCCCCCAAAGTGGTTTCTATCTCTGTTGGGCAGATATTTAACTCCCTGGTTACTGGAAGGCTTCAAAGACTGATGGTGCTCAGGAGGGGAGATGCACCTCACCTGGACCCCAGAATCCTGATCCAGAGTCCCTGGCTCACCAGGATTGGCAGGAGTCCTGAGAGCCCCTTACCCATACTCTCCCAGAAGCCCAGGTCCCCCACAAGACAGTAGGACCCTGTGTGGCCCAGGCTGGACAGTGACAGAGTCTCCAGAAAGCTCTCTCTCCCTGCTTCTTAGTCATATGGTCTGGGGGTCAAAGGGAAAAGCTATGGCATCATCACCTCTTTTACGCCCTGTGGGCTGGTGGCTCTCCCTGGCACAGTCTGACTGTTGCCCATGTTACTTCTTACTTTTTGTTTCCTGCCCATTTTTTCCTTTGTTCTCATACTTCACCATTGGCAATCACATAGAGACATTCCTGCGTACTGTTCTCAGTGTAAATGGTGTGTGTGTGTGTGTGTGTGTGTGTGTGTGTGTGTGTGTGTGTGTGTTTCATGTCCTCACATCTTCATGTCTAGGAGTCTGTCTCCATGTGTGTATCTGTCCTCTTGTTGCCCTGTGTCTAAGCCTGTTATCTGCCCATGTGAATGAATCCACAATGTCTGTCCTGGTTTCTTTGTATGGTGGTCAATCTTGGTACAAATCTTGCATGTGTCTATGTGCTGGTCTGTGTTGCTCTATCAAAGGCTCTGTCGGCCTCTATGAATCTACTTAGGTACATGAATCATTTGTGCATCTGTCACTTGACTTGTCATTGTGTGTGTGTGTCTGTCTGTGTGTGTGTGTGCGTGCTATGTGTCAATTCATGGGTCAAGCCACACAGTGACTCTCACAGTGGTGCCCCAAGAGAAGTTGAACGGCTTCACTAGAGCACAGCTCGTCACCAGCTAGGTCAGTTATCCTGCTGGCCTCTCGAGGCCATCTGCCAGGTCTTGTGCCCTCTGCCCTCTTTCTGACTCCCATTCCCTTATGTCTAGGTCAGCTCAGAACTGTAAGGGGCAGGGACAGAGGCAAGTCGGGCAAAGACAAAAGGTGGTATGGTTCAATTTGCTCAGACTCTCATACCCAGTCACAGGCTTTTTACCTATACACTTTCTTTTTCTCCCCAACGATAAGTGGCAATTGGGTACAGTAACAAAAACAATGAAACAATAGGTGCCACATATTAGATACAAAATAAGCATTTCATAGTCAAGAAGTCATTGAATTCTCTGGATACATCTATGAAGCTGTTGTTAATCTCTCACTGCAGGGATGAGAAAAGGAAGATAGGAGAAATGAGGTAGTCCAATGTCACAGAGCTGGTAGGTGATGAAGCAGGGTTACCTCCCCCGCTCCACCAAGGGGGTAGGCTCCTTGGGAGTTTGCCAAAGCCACTTTCAGCCTGGGAAGAGGTATTTATTGCAAACAGCAGGAAAGGAGGAAAATAGAGGAGTTCCTTCCCCAACAGCTGACAGCTGATTGCAGCCAGAGGAATGGAGATCTGATTTTGAATTTCATCTCTTTGGACAGTGAGAAGTCAAAGACCAAAAAGAGCCCGAGAGAGAGGCTGGAGGTTTGCAGAGGGGTAGGTACACAGGACAGTGCATCAAGCGTCCTGGGTTCTAACATGGCTTTCTCTTGGATTCTGGGTGACCTTGAGCAGGGCACTTCATTGCAAGGATGTGGTTTTGCTTATCTGTAAAATTAGGAATGAAGAGAGGTTTGGTTGAAATATTTGAAGATGGAAGATAGGATAAACTGAGAGCACTCTCAAAATTGGATCTCAGAGCCAAGAATTGGAGCAGGGAGTGCAGGCAGGGACCACACTTCAGTTTTGGTAATTCCAACAGCATAGTAAGGGTGATAAAAAGGTTCACTGGATGAATAGAAAAATAAATGATCCTATTTCTCACAGATCAAAGAACCCAACAGTCTACCTTGGGTCCTATAGTAAAAAAAATAAATAAATAAGGGAAAAGAGAAGGAAGTATTTTGGAGCTCCTTGTCAAAGAAGGCAACCATGGCCATCTTAAGGTGAGTGGAGGGCACAAGAGGTCACTACAAAGACACTAGGTGTCTGCCTAAATATGTCAGGTGGGCCAAAAGAATTCCACTGGGAAGAAAGAGCAGGGGAGGGGTTGGGAGGTAGAGACATTTGTTGAGAGGAATCAGTAGAACAAATCTCTGGGGTGGAGGATTCCCTCCATCCAAAGCCTCTTTGAAAGAGAGGATGTCTGTGCACACCAGTTAAGAACCTCTGTTCTGTCTTCTCTTATCAAGTGGCTGGAGGTGAGAGGGACTACTTCTGCCTAGGTCTGATGAGGCAGAAGGCAGAAGCTATGCAGTGGGCCTGTAAGAAATGAAGGGGGCATGTGGGGAGGGATGAAGAGCATCCTGTCCAGTGTATGGAGGTTCCCTACCTGGGAAGAGGCCTCCTCCAGAGACTAAGAGGTGCTTAAGCAGAGCGGGAAGGTGACAGGGATTGCCTGTCTTGTCCTGGAAGCTCCAACTCGCTGGTCAAAGCCCTCGGGCCGCCCTACTTGTGCGCTGACCTGAGCTAATCTAAAAATACTGCAGGGGGAGTAGAGACCGGGGCTCCCAGAGAGAAAGGATCTCCGAGGGGGGAGATGCAGGAAGTGGGGGGCAGAGTCCTTTTTTCATTTCCTTCATCCCACCCGCAGGTGAGAGCGGTACTTCTTCATCTAGTCTGGGATTGCTGGTCAAATTCTGTGGTTAGAAGACTGACCAGGAGCCCAACATAGGCACAGACCCACACAGAGCAGGCCTGAGCTGCACCAGACCGCACAGAGACAGCTACAAAGGGGCTCACAGGAGCACAGACGCAGGCAACTCCATTCGAGAACATGCGATCCAGCGCACCAGCTCCGCACACACAGACTCACCACACGGAATATGCACGGTTACCAAACCTCACGCTCAGAGTTCACACAGCGCCAGCCCATAGCAGTTATCTGATGCGAAGTCTTTGTCTCCGGATCTCTGTCTTCTAGCTCGCACACACACGCACTTCACTCAACAGAAACATCCGAGCTTTCTCAGCACCGGAGGCGGTGGTCTGAGCAGGGGCCGAGCGCCCTGGTCCACAGCACCCGCAACCGTCTTTCCTCCAGGAGCGACATCAGCTGCGCTTCTCCAAGCATTCGAGACCCTCCAGCAGGATACCGGAAATCGTCCTCAGAGTCCTGCCTCTTTTCAGGTCCCCAAATGATTTTTTAAAAACCGACCATCCAACCCTTCGCCTCCATTCTGAGCGCATTTAGAGATCAGTTGGTGGCGAGCGACCCGCTCCTATCGCAGCACCTCTGGATGGCAGTAACAGCCCGGGCGGTTTAGTACGGAGCTGAGCATCTTTAAAAGTGATCCAAGCCAATTACTTCGGTCTTCAAGGCGGGCTTGCGGCCAGGTTTAAGAGCGAGTGATATGGGTGGCATCGGAGACACACGGACGCCCAGACGGCCGGCTGCGCTAGAGAACCACAACTGTCCAGCTGACGTTCCCCGGTGCACAGATCAGCCCAGAGCCAGAGGATCTGGGGCCGCAGCGGTCGGGGACTCCGGAGGGTTGGTCCGGGGGCGGGGGACCACGGGAATCGGCCCATTCCAGCCCCTCCCTCCCTGCGGCGTCCGCGAGGTGGGACGGGCCAGGATGCCAGCTTAGCGCCTCCTCCAGAAATGCAGCACTTGGGGGGCCCCCACCGCGTCCTCCATGCTCCCTTCCGCCGCCTCCCCCGGGGAGCCCCTCTCCTTCCCCTGTCGTTTCCGAAGCCCTCCGGGCCACCTTTGCCTCCTCCTGGCCCCCTCCTCCAGACCCCTTTGCCTGGGACCGGGTCCCCCCTCCGACCTCCGCCCCCGCACCGCCTGATTCGTGGGGCGCCAGCGCATTGGGCCGCTTGGGGGCGCCGCGCCAGCCTCATAGCAGCTCTGACGCCGTCGCCGCCCTCCGCAGCCCGCGCCCCGCCGCAGCTCCGCAGTGCCCTCGCCGCCGCCGCCGCCGCTGCCGCCGCCGGGCAAGTCCTGCCGACAGTCTGCCCTGCCCGGCCGGGAGTGTGACATGAGCCAGAGCGCTCCGGGGCGCCGCGCTGATTGCCAGCGGAGATAGCGGCCTCGCAGCCCCCGGCCCTCGCCGTCTCTCGCGCGCGCCGCGTCCCCAGTCCCTGCTGCCCTTTCCTCCCGTTCCGCCGCCGCCATGGCCACCCTGCTCCGCAGCAAGCTGACCAATGTGGCCACGTCCGTGTCCAACAAGTCCCAGGCCAAGGTGAGCGGCATGTTTGCCAGGATGGGCTTCCAGGCGGCCACGGACGAGGAGGCGGTGGGCTTCGCGCACTGCGACGACCTGGACTTCGAGCACCGCCAGGGTCTGCAGATGGACATCCTGAAAGCCGAGGGCGAGCCGGGTGGTGACGAGGGCGCAGAGCTGCCCGTCGAGGGAGATATCCACTACCAGCGCGGCGGCGCACCGCTGCCTCCCTCCGGCTCCAAGGACCAGGCTGTGGGAGCTGGGGGAGAGTTCGGGGGTCACGACAAGCCCAAGATCACCGCGTGGGAGGCGGGCTGGAACGTGACCAACGCGATTCAGGTGAGCGCGGGATTCCCAGCTCTGCCTGCCCCCACCCCACACGAATCCCGCCGGGGTCTCAGCTCCCACCGCCCCTCCAGGGCTGGAGAATTTATCTCCCTTTCCCAGACCCTCCAGACTGTGCGGAGATCTACCCCCCACAGCTGCCGAATTGTTCTGACACACACTCCTTCCTCCCACAGCCCCAGAGGCAGGAGAGCCTGACTGAGGTTCGGTGGGAGATCCAGGTCCAGAGACCTCGCAAAAGCTGGAGAAACAGGAGGGGAAGGGGGGAGGAGGAAGAGGAATGAGGGAGAAAGAAAATCATGTTCGAAGGAAGAGTTTGCCTTGTATTCCCTAATGGATTCACAGCTGCATTTTCGGGAGGAGGGGCAGCTAAGCCGGAGTCTCCTCCTCCAGACACACACGCACGACGCGTGCATACGCACATAGGCAGACTCACATACCCACAGCCCCCTTCCCGACGAACAAACGCCACCCTACATGCATCTATTTGCAGATCACAAGATTACCTCACACACACTTGCATCCACCCCTAGACCCTCCCCACAACAGCAGCTTTGCACACACAGCCGGTCCCCACCTACCAGCTCACTCCTAACTCGAAGTTGTAAGTGCACACTCAGTCAGGACCCAGTTGGCTCCCTCAGATGAAGGCTGGAGACGTGCAGGCAGGTACATCCAACACCCGTCTCGGAACTTCACAGACGAGCGGTTTTCGTGGGAAATCCCAGCTGCACACAGATTCTGAGGGCATCCAATGACCCTGGTGAAGACTCCCCAGAGGTTTAGAGCAACCCTGTGCCTCTTCCTCCAATCGCTTCCCTCCCATCCCAACCCCTATCCCAGCCCCAATCCCACCAGGCGGCGCCGGACTTGGTTGATGAGGGGTTAGAAGTCCTCCCAACGACCCCGGGAGCTAGCAGGGGCTAGCGGGTCGCAGTTTCCGGGAGGTGTGAGGCCTGGATTCTGGGCATCCCTAGGCTCCGTGGCTTGGCTCCCCAGTGTCCCGGGAGGGCTGAATCGTTGTGGCATTGATCATAGGTTTCTTGGCTCAGGAAGGCCGCAGCAGGGTTGCTCTGAACCTCTCACTCAGCGGGATTCCTAGGCTTCTCCGACCCAGGTGATTCTCGTTCCAGGGCCAGGCCAGGCAGGGCGAGACAGCCTTGATAGAGTACGGGACAGGGTTGGGGGCCGCGCCCGCTCCTCGAGGGCCCCGGGTGCTTTTCCCTGGACATCTTTCACAGCCCGTTCTGTAGGCCTGGAGAGGGGTCAGAGCAGTAGGCTGGAGGCGCGCAGGCCTCGGGGACCTTGGATTTCGTTAGCTTTTCTTCCCCTACGTAAATTCTAAGCTACCCTTGCGCAGCAGAGCTCACCGGCCCCACATTTTTGGGTTCTAGACCCCGGCTGTCCCTGGCTTCCCCGAAGCGCTTCGGTTTCCTCACTCGCATGCCCGCCCCTACCTCTCGCCTCGCCCTCGGCGCCCTTCTTAGGGCTAGCCTTCGCCCCTAAGGCATTTCAGCCTGGTCCTGGGGCTCCACCTTTCCAGTCCTGGCCTCTCCCTCTCTGCGCCCCGCTCCCCAGAGCTGATCACCTCCCCAGAGGCCCGTCTTATTCATCCCTCCTGGTTTCCTGGTGGCTTCGTGTTCAGCCCCCATTCCTCTCTGCCCCATTCTGACTCCTCTGGTTTGGCCCTTAGATTCTCATGTTTTCCGTGTTAACGTGCATCCACTCCAGCCCTCCTTAAATCCGAAGCTCAGTGGCTCAGGCCCAACTCTCTACCCTTTTAAAAACTCCTTCTAATCCCTTCTGTCCCCCAGGTCCCCATGTTTGGTGGTCTCCCTAGGAACCATCCCCAAGAATCTCCATATTCCGTCTACCCTCAGCCTCCTCGGTCCTATCTTTAAATACCTCTTCATCTTAGACTCAATGCCCAGGCTCGGCCTTAGGACCCCATTCCAGCCCATTCCAGCCTACCTTTAGGCTCTGGTCCTGGTGGCTTAGGCACAATTCCTGATCTCCCTGGCGCCCCCTAGCGATAGCTTCAAGTCACACCCGGAGGGTCCCCCTTTTCTAGGGTGCAAGCGGTCAGCATGCGGGTCTGGTTGCCTCTCCCCACCACAGGGCATGTTTGTGCTGGGCCTACCCTACGCAATCCTACACGGCGGCTACCTGGGGTTGTTCCTCATCATCTTCGCCGCCGTGGTGTGCTGCTACACCGGCAAGATCCTCATCGCGTGCCTGTACGAGGAGAATGAGGACGGCGAAGTGGTACGCGTGCGGGACTCGTACGTGGCCATAGCCAACGCGTGCTGCGCGCCGCGGTTCCCCACGCTGGGCGGCCGCGTGGTCAACGTGGCGCAGATCATCGAGCTGGTGATGACCTGCATCCTGTACGTAGTGGTGAGCGGCAACCTTATGTACAACAGCTTCCCGGGGCTGCCGGTGTCGCAGAAGTCCTGGTCCATCATCGCCACCGCGGTGCTGCTGCCCTGCGCCTTCCTGAAGAACCTCAAGGCCGTGTCCAAGTTCAGTCTGCTGTGCACGCTGGCCCATTTCGTCATCAATATCCTGGTCATCGCTTACTGTCTGTCGCGGGCGCGTGACTGGGCCTGGGAGAAGGTCAAGTTCTACATCGACGTCAAGAAGTTCCCCATCTCCATTGGCATCATCGTGTTCAGCTACACATCCCAGATCTTCCTGCCTTCGCTGGAGGGGAACATGCAGCAGCCCAGCGAGTTTCACTGCATGATGAACTGGACGCACATCGCTGCCTGCGTGCTCAAGGGTCTCTTCGCGCTCGTTGCCTACCTCACCTGGGCCGACGAGACCAAAGAGGTGATCACGGATAACCTGCCCGGCTCCATCCGCGCCGTGGTCAACATCTTCCTGGTAGCCAAGGCGCTGCTGTCCTATCCTCTGCCCTTCTTCGCAGCCGTCGAGGTTCTGGAGAAATCTCTCTTTCAGGAAGGCAGCCGCGCCTTCTTCCCCGCCTGCTACGGCGGTGACGGGCGCCTCAAGTCCTGGGGGCTGACGCTGCGCTGCGCGCTGGTGGTCTTCACGCTGCTCATGGCCATCTACGTGCCGCACTTCGCGCTGCTCATGGGCCTGACCGGCAGCCTCACGGGCGCCGGCCTCTGCTTCCTGCTGCCCAGTCTTTTCCACCTGCGCCTACTCTGGCGCAAGCTGCTGTGGCACCAAGTCTTCTTCGACGTCGCCATCTTCGTCATCGGAGGCATCTGCAGCGTGTCCGGTTTCGTGCACTCTCTCGAGGGGCTCATCGAGGCCTACCGAACCAACGCAGAGGACTAGGGCGCGGGGCTGAGCCTGGCCGCGCGCTCCCGCGCTCCTCCACCCCACCACCCCTCCAGCCCCCGGGGCGCCCCGCTTGGGAGGCCAAGCTTTAAACATCTTCTGGTTCCTAATTTCTGATTATTCGGGGATGGGGGGAGGGAAGGGATAGGCATCCACGGCCCATCGCGTCTGCGTTTCTGTTGTCCTTTCTTTTCCATATGCCCTGGTTTTGGGGGTGGCGGGGCAAATTTGTGGGCAGTGTTTTCTGTCCTTCCTGGAGGGGCCCCAACACCTTGGCACCAGTCACCACCCGGGGTGGGAAGGGAGGGGAAAAGGGAGCACGCAGCTCACAGCCGCGGAAATTTGACCTTGACGGGGGACATTTCATAGCCATCCAGTGCTTGGAATCTATGTCCAGCCATTTCCGGCAAGAGCGCTTCCCATTCCCAAGACATTTCAACCTTGCAACCAGAAAGGCTGACCGGGAAATCCTTTTCGGGTGGGCGATTTTCTTCTGCGAAGCGGGGAGAATCCGCAGCCAGGGTCTGTTTGCCTGCCAGTTTTCAGGAATCCAAACTCATCTTGTGCAATGTATCGGTCGTGGAACTGTTCTACTGTGCGTGTGGTGTGCTCGTGGTGAATAAGATGAATTGTCTATCAGAAAAAAAAATCTATCTCTAATTTAGAGTGCGGTGCATAATTATATCCGCAAATAAAGAAGAAACAAAGGCGTTTCTGGCCTCCTGTTCACGGCATCCCAGCTCGGTGGTGGATGGGTGGCAGGTGGTGGTGGAAACCCAGCCCTTGCTGTGCAAAATGAAGGAGCAACTCTGGTTAAGGGTCCTGGGGGTAGGAAACTGGTTGGCACCTGGATGTTGGGATGCAAACTATGGCCGGGCGCTTTACCGCTGGGATTCAGAAGATCCATAGAGAATTTGATAGATTCTTTCAGTTTCCAATCCTAAAGGGGTAGTGTGCAAGTTTACTGAACAAATATTCACAGGCAGCCAGGTTAGGGATGGTTAACAGAAGAAACAAAATCAACCCTGCTCTCCTAGCTTACAGTCCAGCCTGGGGAGCCAGACAATAAACTACCAGAGGCAGAAATTCCCTATGGGACTGTAGACTGTGAGAGACCTAAAAAGGGGTGGATTGTATGTTTCTAGGCCCCCAGGCCCAGGGTACAAACCCCACTGCCTTACAGGAACGTGGGCACCAGGAAGTATGCAGCCTCAAGCCCCAGCTAGGGTTTACACAGCACTGTGAAAGGACTGGCCATGTACAAGACATTTGAGTTTCTTTTTTCCCCTTGTGCAGCATGAATTTTCCTGGATTATCCAAAGAACCTAGGGTTTTATGTTGCTGTTGTTGGTGCTGGTTTACATTTGTTTTCTAGTGCCGCCTCCAAGAGAGTTTCTGTCTGGGACTGTTTCGAAGACTTTGGGTGTACTTTCCAGGTGGGAACTAGGAGTACAGGAGGGCTGAGCTGCTTTAGGGTCCTCCCTCACTGTGGGAAAAGTCAACTACAGGCCTTTTAAAGCAACTTCTCCAGATGTGATCAGTGTGAGAGAGAAGGAACCTAATATCTAAGCAGGGTCCGGTTCTGGGTTCTCTCTGCAATGGGTGGGGATGGAGGCAGGTGAGGGAGGGAGGTGAGGAGGGAGGGAGGGAGTCCAAAATGAGGGAGGGAGGGAGGGACGGAGGGAGGGAGGGAAGGAGAGAGGGAAGAGGAGAGGGAGGAAGAGAGAGGGGGTGTTGGTGTCTCTGAGACCCTTGGTAAATGTGTTTGTGTGTGCATAGCATCAGCATGGTGTGAGCATGCTCTGTGACAAAGGTGTGTTGAATGACCTTATTCCTACAGTCACAGAACAGGAGTAGGAGTAGGCCTTTGAAGTGCCTGCTCCCCTCACTGCCTCATTTCCCTTTGCCACTATTGTAGAATGTTCAGGTTCCAGTACAAACCAAAGAGCTCTCTTTCCTATCTTTCATGATGACCAATACCTCTCAAACCCAGAGAGGAGGGCACTGACTGCCCTTTCCCCTGCTTTGTGTCTGCTTCTCAGTGGACCCTGGAGTGTACTCTGACTCAGCATCTACCCTGCAGACTTCAGAAGAACCTGGGAAAGAAAGGTGGGAGTGTCCCACTGCACCAGCTTTGTCCTTCTCATCTTCAGAAGGACAAATGAGAGTAGCAGGCAGATTGTGGACAGCAGCTTCCATCTCTGGGGCTTGCCTGCCTGTCTGCTCTGGTTCCAGTCTTTGGGCTCATCTTGCAGGAGCCCAGGTCCCCAAGGGGAAATTCTTATGGCAGCAGAAACAGAGAACCAACCTTGTAAGAGTTCAAAATGGAACCCTGCACCCTGGTGAATGAGACACTAATTCCCAGACTAATATTTATGCCTCTGGGAGAGATGGGTAACGATTCCCCCCTCCCAAAACTACATGAGAGATGGTGAAAAGAAAAAGCCCTAAACACAATGGCTTGGCTTCCATTGTCTGAGTCCTAGGTGAGCAGATAGACTAGGCAAAGCTCATCTTGGGATAGAATTAAGTTAGACATGAGGACTCTGTATCAGGCCCTCAAAGCACACAGGGTTCCCATCAGTTCTTAATATATTCTGGCCCCATTTGCTGTGGACTCTAATAGCCTGCCTCTATCTGCAGCAGAGGTAAGTTGGCATACCAGCCCCATACACCTGAGGATCCACCAAGAACCATGTCTACTAGCCACATTTGGAAATGACCCCACCTCACCCACCTAGTGGTCAGATCACAAGCTGCTGGCCCTTCCACCTTTATGATTTGGAGCCCACCTCAAGAGTTCTAACTGCCTTTGCTTCCCCTTCCCTACTGTGTTTTATTTCAGCATCATATTTCACTCCAGTGCTTTATTTCAGCATATTTCAAAAGAGATTGTTTGGCCAAACTGAGTTGATGCTATATTATGGAATGTTTTGTTATATGATCCCTCCAATCCTAGGGACTGACATGTCCCTAGACCAGGGCCTTAGGAGGGAGGATGGGAGCCAAACAGGTCCATGGGGACCATTCAAAATGTGGAGAGGATTCAGGTCTTGTTATTGGGAGGGGTCTTCAGAGACAAGACCCATAGAAGGGTTTTGATCAAGAAAGGAGTTCATGGCCTGGCAGAGTGGCATACACCTTTAATCCCAGCACTCAGGAGGAATAGACAGGCAGATCTCAGTGAGTTCAAGGCCAGCCTGGTCTACATAGTGAGTTCCCCGCCAGCTGGGGCTACAGGGAGACCCTGTCTCAAGAAGACCAAAAAAAGAAAAGGAAAGAAAGAAAAGAAGGAGCACAGTCTTCACAGTGAGTGGGGTGAAGGGGGATGCAGGCCTGGACTGATTTGACCTCAGAAAACCACCTTTGGGTTCTTTCCCAGTATTCTTTTATGTATACTGAATGTTATGCAAATTTTCTAAAATACAGAAAATGTGAGAGTTCTACAGTCAACATATGAGTATCTATCACCTAGATTGAAAGGTGACCATTTTTCTTTCTTTTTTAAAAAATATTTTATTTATTTTGATTTTATGTGTATGAATGTATTGCCTCATGTATGTGAGTGCACCAGTTTTGGTCAGAAGAGGGAATTGGGTTTCCAGGAACTGGAGTTACAGATGGCTGTCAGCCACTATGTGGGTGCTGGGCAACAAACCTGGGTCCTCTGTAAGAGCAGCCAGTGCTCTTAACCATTGAGCCATCTCTCCAGCCCCTTTATTTCTCTTTCATTTTAGTTTTATGAGACAGGGTCTCACTATATAGTCCTGACTGGCCTGGAACTTGCTAAGGTGCCCAGCAAGATGACTATTTTTCAACACTGTATCTATCCCACATCTACCCCTCTAACAAGCTAGATTTTTATTTTTTTAATATTTTATTATTTTTATTTTATGTGTATGAGTGTATTGCCTGAATGTAGGTAAGTGAACCTGTGTCATGCAATGCCTGTGGAGGACAGAAGAGGCTGTCAGATTCCCTGAACTGGAGTTATGGACAGTTGTTAGCTGCCATGTGGGTGCTGGGATTCGAACCCAGGTCTTCTGCAAGAACAGTCAGTGTTCTTAACCGCTGAGCCATCTCTCCAGCCCCACAAGCTACCTTTTTAAAAAATGCACTCCAGACATCAGTGTACTTCCCTCTGAATTCTTAACTAGGCAGGACAGTGACAGTGACACCCAGGTAAGGAGTAGCATTAAGCTGAGCCATCCTGGAGCCTGAGGCAAAAGAAACAATAACTACCCTGGGTTTTTTTTGTTTGTTTGTTTTTGTTTTTGTTTTTGTTTTTACAAATTTTACTGCTTTACCCATCATCCAATTTTGAACATTATGGTCCATTTTGTAATACTTTAAAAAATACTATTTTTATTTTATGTGTATGAGTGTATTGCCTGTATGTATGTAAGTGCACCCATGCCATGTAATGTTCGTGAGGTAGAAGAGGGTGTTGGATCCCCTGGAACTGGAGTTACAGATGATTGTTAGCTGCCATGAGGGTGCTGGAAATCAAACCTGGCTCCTCTACAAAGCAGCCAGTGCTCTTTGTAGCTCCTCATTTTGTATTACTTTTGATCTTTTGTTTGTTTGTTTGTTTGTTTGTTTGTTTGTTTTGAGATAGGGTCTCCCTGTAGCCCCAGCTGGCCTGAAACTCGATATGTAGACCAGGCTGACCTCAATCTCACAGAGATCCACCTGCCTCTGCCTCCCAAGGGCTGGGGTTAAAGGAATGCCCCACCATGGCCAGCTGATTTTTTCTTTCTTTTCCTTTCTTTTCTTCTTTCCTTCCCTCCTAATAAACCATGTTGGCCTTGAACTCAGATATGCCTGCCTCTGTCTCCCTCCTGAGATGACTTTAGTTTTTCATTTTATTTCTGTTTTATTTTGTTGAGACAAGGTCTCCCTATAGTCCCAGCTGTCCTGGAACTTGCTATTTTGACCAGGCTGGCTTTGATCTCACAGAGACTTGCCTGTCTCTGCCTCCTAAACACTGGGACTAAAAGCATGTGCCACACCTGACTTACTTTAGATTTTGTTTGTTTTTTGTTTTTGTTTTTTTGAGACAGGGTCTCCCTGTAGTGCCAGCTGACCTGGAACTAGCTATGTAGACCAGGCTGGCCTTGAACTCACAGAGATCTGCCTGCCTCTGCCTCCCAAGTTCTGGGATTAGAGGCATGCACCACCACACCCAGCTTCACTTTAGATTTTTAAAAACACATCAAAAAGGGCTGGGATGGTACCTCAGTCAGTAAAGTGCTTGTCATATAAGCATGAAGACCTGAGTTTAGATCCCCAGCACCCATGTAAAAGGCTGGGCATGGCAGCTTGCTCCTGTAATCCCAGAGCTGAAGAGGCAGAGACAGGAGGATCCGTGGGGCTTGCTCACCAGCCTAGTTGAATTGATGATCTTTGGATTCAGTGAGAGACCTTTTTTCAAAAATTAAGGTGGGTGAGGCTGGAGAGATGGATGGTTCAGCTATCAGAGCTGGCACCGCTATTACAGAGGATCCAGATTTGGTTACCAGCACCTATGTTGAGCAGCTAACAACTGCCTGTAACTCTACCTCCAGGGGATTCAATGTCTTCTTCTGGCCTCTGCAGGCACTGCACACATGTGGTATACATTCACACACACACACACACATACACACACACACACTTAATCTTAAACAAATTTTAAAAAGATGGAAAGCGATTAAGATACCCGATGCCA